AGGTCTTTGGGTGATATTCAAGATCCAAAGTTTAAACTGCTTGCCCTCAAATTGCCTAAACCTGTGGTTGGTTTGGGATGAATTGAGATGACACAGACAGACAAGCATCAGCCCATACCTACAAAGAGGTAGTCTGTAATGAGGTTAGCCCAGGACTTCATCTTGAAGAACAGCTGGAGTTTTGATGGGGAAGGGGACAGATGGATCAGGAATGTACCCATGTGCAAGAGGACGGAAACATCTCGGAAGTAAATTAGAATGTGGACTCACGGACATTATGATCCCCTTCTTCCTCCTACTCCTCCTCCTCTTCCTCCTCTTTCTTCTTTTGTGTGTGTGTGGGGGGGGGGTGTGTGCGTGCACACACACATGTGCTGGGAATTTAACTCAGGGCCTCAAGCATGCTAGGCAAGTGTTCTGTCACTGAGCTACACCTGCAATCCCTCATGATCATTTTTAATCCCATCCCCATGCTTCATCACAGATTCCTGTCTTCTAGAATGTCACCCCTTTGTACACTTCTTTTACATCTGTACCAACACTACCCCCGATCCCTGGGCATCTCAGCAGGAGACAGCGTATGAAAGCTCTTCATTTTTTATTGATATGCATAGACTTCCTGAACAAACACAAGAGTGGCAAAGGAAGGTCAGAGGGACTAAGAGATTTTCCCAGCAGATGAGAAGGGGGATCAGGATGCTGGCCCTGGGCCCCATATCACCAGCTATCAAATGAGCCAGGTGGGAGCCTTGGTGAGATACAGATACCTAAATTAGATCAACCCACTTTGAATCCCAGTTCTAGCATTCTCTGTATGTCCTGGAGTAACTTAATTTCTCTGTGCCTCCTTTAATGTTTACCTCAGAGCTGTTGGGCAGATTAAAATGACAACAATGCCTATAAAATGTCTGGTGTAATGTCCAGGACGTAGAAATGTTGACACCATCATTCACTCAGATATTCTACCATTTGGATCATCATTATTCCCACAAATGTCTCTCGTTTAGGACCTGAATTTTTGAGTCTGCCTGAAGCCTGGAGCCCATGACTGGGCACTTTCTAATTCAGTTTTCTTTGTCAGAAAGGTTGCTCTAAACCCACTTGCGGACACCACAAGAATTCTCTGGGCCTGCTTGTGATGGCTAAAGATGGGGGTTTGAAGTCCCTCTGTTAGCACAGGTGGGGTCTGAGCAAACTCAAAGGATGTAGGGGTTTGGAAAAGGATGTATCTCCATCCCTTGAGCAGGGTTGGGATAGTAAGCAGCTCCTGCATCCTGATCCCACATTCCTGTGGCACCCCAGTCCCCTAGCTGCCTACTGTTCTCTTCCTGGGTTCTGGCCTGGATGGGCTCACATGAGAGCTTGCTACTGCATCTTGGCATGGATGGGCTTTTTGCAAGATCACCCACAAGGGGAGTGACATGCAGGCTGGGTGCTCACACATCCTAGACCCTGCCTGCCTCACTCCTGCTCTGGGTCCCTGCTCCCCTAGCAAGTTCATCCAGAATGAACCTCAAGCTCTCCTGGGACTCCTGCATACCGATCCTGGCTCCCCTCTGCAGCAGCATAGCTCAGTCTCCAAGTACATCTAATGGAGTACAATGAAGGCCGTTTATCATTTTCGGACAGCGACATATCCTGAGGAATGTGCCACTAGGCAATTTCATTGGTGTGTGAAAAGGATAGAGTGTGTTTAACAAACCTAGAAGGCATAGCCAATTGCTCCATGAGGTCTCTCAATGCAATCAAGAAATGTAGTGAACGTGACACATGAGGGCTACCACTGGCATAACACAGCACAATGCTTCACAGCAAACTTTCAAAAAAATGTAATTAACATATCTAATTTTCTTCCATGCTGGGGATTGAACCAGGGCCTTGGGCATGCTAAACAACTGTTCTACCACTGAACATAATTCCTAGCCTTAAAATCTTTTTTATAAGTAGAAAGTGTACATTCTAAAATAATGATAAAAAGTATAGGATAGTAAATTCAAAAGCCATTATTATCATTATCAAGTATCCACGCACATAATTGTATGTGCTCGACTTTCAAACGCCTGCAGTGCAGTGGGTTTGTTTATACCAGCTTCACCACAAACATAAGTAGTGCATTGTGCTGTGGCATTAGGAAGTCTGCAGCTTCACTAGGCGACAGGAATTTTTTAGTTCCTATAGGACCATGCTCATAGGCGAGGTCCATTTTGGATCCAAAATTCATTACACAGCACATGACTGTATTTGTGAAATTTTTCAGTTCTCACTGAGCTATTCGATACACTGCTTAGTCATATTTTTTGAGTGTATGTGTGGCCCTGGGGTAAATCCTTCTCCACATGCTAGGCAAGTGCTCTGCCACTGAGCTGCATTCCCAGCCCCTGTTTTCTCATTTTTATTTCTCTAATGAAGCACACTCAGCTTCTTCCTATGAAAAGAAACATAAGTAAACTTGCAAATGTTCTATAGTCACTTAATTCACCTATACATTAGAATTTTGGACATGTGTTGCCCGTCAGGTAAAAGGGCTGAAAACCAAGACCAGACCAGGCCACAACAAGCCTTTATTAGGGGACTAGATCTGCCCAGCTGTCTCTGAACAGAGACAAAAGAAATATGGCCAGGGCAGGGAGAGTCTTTTATAGAGACTGGGGTGGGGTTTGTAGGGGCTGAGGCGGGGTTGAGTGAGGTAGTGACCAGGGAATGGAGGAGCCCATGATGTCACTAGGTGGTAGGAGGTGAGCGAGAGTATTAGGTTACTTTCTAGGCGGGAACAGGGGCATGCTGGGGAGAAGGGTTTATTCTTTGGTGTGAGCAACCATCTTGGCATAACATCACACAGGGGAGGTGGCAAGGCACAATAGGAAGAGGGCAGCTACTATACATAATAGCTGCTGAGGTAGTGGGAGACCTACCATTGCCTTTAACAAAATTTGGTTTCTTTGAATCTCAAAGAATTCAATTTGAAGTCAAAGACTTGAGGTCAACTCTTTTAGTTGTTCATAATTGTCTGGGGTTGGAGGTGCCTCCTCAGGAAAAAGGCATACACTCTCATGAAGTCAATTTTGCACATAATTTGTGGAGGCAGCTGGATTCCTAAAGTCCCCAGGCCCCCAGTATAGTTGAATAAATAAGGAAAAGGCTAAGGTGAGCTCTCTCACCATTGTTCAAGGTAGCCTGGCAGCTCCTTCCCCAATAAAGCCTTGCCTCAGGTGCTCCTGTTTTGGCTCATTTTCTTTCATTCTGTGGCTGAAACTTGGGAAGGCAATGGTCAGGATTTTGAAATGATCCCCTGCTGGTTGGGGTTGATTGGCCGGGCTTCAGGTCATCCTTCCTGGACCCTGCCAGATGAGCACCCAACCAGGGGCCTTCACCTTTGCTGTTGCTGACACCCTGCATCCACACCAGTCCCTAATCTCTAGTGCAAAGGAGGCTGGGAAATGGAAAGGCAACACAAGGCCACCACAGGGCATCATTAAGAGCCACTGTCACCTGGCTGTGGTAGCACATTCCTGAAATCCCAGCACTTTGGGAGGCAGAGGAAAACAACCCAAAGATCCTGCCAACAGAAGTCCAGCATCCAGGGCTCACCTACAAGCTGTGTGGGCTCTGGGCATATGATGCACCACTCTCCTCAGTTATGTTGGGAAAATCACAGATATATCCCCAGGAGCAGCCAGAAGAATCCAGTTTCCCATTCCTGTCCATCAGATCAGATGTGGTGTTTGCTGGTGTTTCCCAGGAAGCAAACTTCAGGACATATTCCCCCAGATATGCTCATATGTAACAAGCATGCAGGGACAGATGGAGGCCTGGGACTCCCTTCCAGAAGAGCAGAATGGAAAATGCTACCTCCAAAATGAATATTGATGACTGCTTTTCCTGAAAGAGAGCCTGAGAGAGCTGCCGTTGTCAAAGTTACCTTCTGTTTACAGAAGGCTGAGGACACAATAACTAAGTCAGAGACTTTGGATGTTACACAAAGGATTAATGATGCCCTATATTTTGGATCTTGGTGCATGTCTGATCCAAAAATTCTGAGGACATCCTTATACTTTCCAAATTCTCCATGTGCTTCCTAGAAGAAGCTATTCAAGAAACATAATGCTTGGAAAGATTTTCTAACACTACCTGGTTAGGAAATGGACTGCTTTAATAAATGTAATTATGGAAGTAAAAAAAAAAAAAAAGAAAGGCTAAGGTGACTCAAACTGCCAGTGAATTACACTGTCAGAATTTGAACTCAGGGCCGGGGATTTAGCTCAGTGGTTCCGCAGCCTGCCTTGCAAGTGAAAGGACCCAAGTTCGATCCCTGGTACAAAAAAATAAAAAGAATTTGAAGTCAGATTTATTGACCTAACGCTGTTCCAAGAGAGACACACCCTGGGACACAGTGCCTGGGTTCTAAGCCTGATTGTGCTGCCTGTTCTTGTGGGACTTGTGCAAGTTACATAGTCCCTCTGTGCCTCAGTTTCTCCTGCTCAAGTGGGGTGAGAGTAACAGGACTCCTCCCATTGCCAGTTACCTTGGCGCTATATTATAAAGCGGCTTTAACCGCTTTGCAATCAAGAACACGACAAGCTCAGGAAAACAGGCATTGCTCCTGGCCACCAAGCTGCAAAGTGATATGTGACGCCACCCCCAAGACTTAACCCAAAGCCCGTGGACTGGGCACAAAACACCCCACATCCAAAGTTCCTCCACACACCCTGCTTTCAAAGTCACCACGGACTTGGACCAGAGCAGGGCGCAAGGGGTCAAGGAGCTGCTTCTTCAGAGAGCAGCCCTCAAATTCAACCGGACCAGCTACCTCTTTGCTTCAGAGGAAGGAGCAGAGTGGAGCCAGAGGAAGAGGAGGAAGGGAGAACAGCTGGGAAGCATGGGGCGGGGCTGCTGCCCAGGCGAGGCCTGGCCTCACTCGCACCCACCCTCGAGGGGCAGAAACAGCCTTTCACAGGGTGAAAGGAGAGAGCTCAGGCCTAGGGAGACGGCAGGGACTGGACATGCTTCAAAGTGGGTTCCCAGGAGTGTCAGGCCCCAGGAACCTCAGAGTCACCCAGGGACAGGCATTCAGAAAGTCCCCTCCCTCCCTGGGGCTGTGGGCGGGGTTAGAAAAAGGTTTCAGTTTTGTTTCCTAGTCTGCTAAGGAGGAAACTCATCAGGAAACCTCCGGCGGTGGAACGTGGAGGGAGACTTCCAGGTGTGCGGGAACTGGTAAGAAGCCACTTTCTCCAGCAGCTCGCTTGAGGCAGGCTATCCAGCAGGGTGATGGGAGAAGGCTGCTTCTGATGCCAGGAGACTGTGGTCCTGTGCCAAGAAAACACCCAGGCGGGAAAGGGGAGGGTTGGGGAGGGGCGGGGAAAGCAGCAGACCTCTAAATAGGCTGGTCAGTGCTGTGCAGCTTCACAACATCCCCCCAGCTCAGCTATCTGGGGCTTTGGGGGTCGGCCCTGAGGTTGAATAGCCAGGGTAATTATCCCTAAGGGCTTCTCCTGCTTGTCATTGCTTAGTCCTGACTTGGGGTTCTGATAAGGCTGTCTTCACACCAGTCTGTGAAAGAAAGTGGCCAAGGAAGAGTCCATGTCACCCTCACCTGCAGAGGGGCTGGGTAGACAGGTAGGGGGCCAGGACCATAGGGCTAAGTGGGGGCGCCTTTCGAGGCATAGCCTCACTCCCTGAACCCCTCCTGTGGCAGGAACCTGAGTAGAGCCTCCCCAGAGAGCTTTGCTCCAGTCAGGCCTTTTGAGATCTCTGGCTTCTGAGCCAGCTCAGGAGAAAAAAGTGAGGGAATGGCCCAGGCAGAGTGGAGCAGAGAGAACAGAAGGGGAGGCGAAAGCACGCATGTGCAGCTCGGGCAGCTTGTCAGATCAAGAGCAGTGATGTCCCCTGTGCTAGGGATTCGGACGTGAACCTCTCCTAGACATCTAGACCTTTAGGGCTACAGCCTCTGAGTTTCTTTTCATGTAAGCTGCCACCAGCAAGAGTTGATGGAAGTGGAAAGTGTCATTTCTTGGTGATGAGGACTGGTAGAGAAAAGCACCCTGCCTGGGAAGCAGAAGGGCCTTGCACCCTCTCTAGTGGTTACCACAGGTGGGCCCGGGGGCAGGGGACAGGTGGATGGCTTCTCAGTCCCTTGTTTTGGAAGTTCTAAACGTTTCCGCCCTTGGAGGAAGTATAGGTGTAGGAAGGCTGTGTTACTAACTTGGGACCAGCAGGTACACCAGAAAACAAGAAAAAAGATTTGGATTTTGTTATTTCATTTTTATAACAGCTTGATTAAAGTATTATTGACATAAACTGCACCTCTTTAAAGTACCATTTGACACTTTCTCACACATGTTATATACCTGTGAAACCACCCCACAAGCCAGGAAATGAAATTCACCATCACCCCAAAACCTCCCTGGGGGCCCTTCCAATCCCATCATCCTATTTCCCATGCTGACAGCCTCTGGAGAGCCAGCCCTAGGTGTGAAGTCAGACTCCCTGCTTTACATGCTGTCATTCTTCCCCCTTGTTCTCGTAGCAGAAGCAGCGTGCCCTCTGCCCACTTCATCATCCATGAAGCCCACTGCCTGCGCTTCCTGGTCTTTTGCTCCAAGTGTGAGGAGCCTGTCCCAGGGGTGAAGATGGAGGAGCATTGTGAGCAGAGGCACACGCAGGTGAGCAGGTGTCAGGAGAGACAGGACCTGAGGGCCGGGATCTGTCTGCCCTGCAGCAACTCAGAACTCACACAGCCCCCTGGGGACAAATCATGTAGTCCCTCCAAGTTCAAACCCAGTTTGTGAAAAGAAAATGCTAATCCTGTTTTTCTCCAGCTAAATGAAATCTACTCCTTTTTCCAACTTTTTCTCTTTTTTCCTTTCTTGGTGTGTGTGAGTGTGTGTGTGTGTTTGGAGGGGGCTTGAAACAGGGCCTTACTGTGTAACACAGGGTGACCTTGAACTCTTGACCCTATTGCCTCAGTCTGCTAGGTGCTGGGAAGACAAGTGCATGCCACCATGCCCAGCTTCCAGTCCTTTCCCTGCAGGCTTATGAGTCTGACAAGGCAAAGGGTTCCTGTTTCAAGAAAGGTAAATCTTGTGAGATTCAAGAAGAGGCAGAGCCGGGGATTTAGCTCAGTGGTTCCAGCGCCCTGCCGAGCAAGCGCAAGGTCCTGACTTTGATCCCTGGTACCAAAAAAAAAAAATCTTCAAGAAGAGGAGAAACAGGAAAGGAGGCCCCCAGAAGGCAGACACACTCGGCTCATTTTTCTTTCCTGCTTTTCCATGTCTCTGTCTGTGTTTAGGTCACATGTGTGATGTGTCAGCAGAGTGTGCAGAAGTCCTTGCTGGAGTTGCATGAGGTGAGAGTCAGGCGTGATCCTGGGAGGAGAGGGAGAGGGGAGGAGAGGCCACTCCGTTCTTATCCAGCTGGGCTTAGAGAGCGGGGGAGAACCAGCCACCTTGGGCGCACAGGTCCTCCTGTATCTGATGCTGGACAGAGGACTTTCTGTGCTTCGAGAGTCCAAGAGAGCTTGTATCTCCGGCCCTTGCCATCATTTTCTGTAATTGGTTTCAGTTCCCTGGGGAGATGGGCTCCTTCCCCTGACCTGTCCTCCATCCCAGTGACCAGTGATCACATCCTTCCTGCTGCCTCTCACAGACCAAGGAATGCCAAGAGCGCCCTGTCAAGTGCAAGTTCTGTGAGCTGACCGTGTACTTCAGCAAGCTAGAGACCCACGAGTCCCACTGTGGCAGCCGAACTGAGCGCTGCCCACACTGTGACCAGCTTCTCTTGCTCTGGCAGCTGGCCCAGCACAAAGATGTTTGTCAGCGTGAACAGGCTCTGCTCAGGGAAGGTGAGCAGCTAGGAAACGCTGGAGAGGAAGAGGGAAGCTCCGAGCCCCAGAGCCTCTCTTAGGTGGAATGCAAAGGCCAAAATCCCCCAAGGGGGCCAGGTGTGGTGGTGCACACCTATAATTCCAGCTCTTGGGAGGCTGAGGCAGGAGGATTGCTTCGAGTTCCAGGCCACCTGGCCCACATAGTGAGTTCAAGGCCAGTTTGAACTGCATAGCGAGACCCTGCCTCAAAAAACCAAAAAAACAAAACAAAACAAAAACCAGGGGCACAGAGGAAAAGGGTACTTATTGCATATGTTTCAATTAAAGTGACTATTCTAGCTCTGCACCATGCACCAGGATGACCTTCTTATGTATCTGCTGTGGTCTTTACATGACTACTCCAGGGAGACCGAGGGCGGGGTGGGGTGGGGGGGCAATTGGAGAGCTCCACAGCCCAGTGAGGAAGCCATGATGAGCCTTAGAAGTAGAGGCCTTCTTTGAATTCCTCCTGCACAAACCTAGCCTGGTGAGAGCCACCTGAATCCTTTTATGGATGGGAAACCCACACTGAGAATGAAGCAGGGACCCACTAGAAGCGGAAATCAGACTGGATGTTTAGGTTTCCCAGCACAAAATCTACACCTTTGTCCACCATCAGTGATGAACAGGAGCCAGCTGTGGCCCCTCCTGGCCTTTGGGCCTGTGTGTGGCTCCCTGGTGTCCCTTCATCTCCTTGTGTCCTAGTTACCTCTTTCTGATGGCTCATTTACTGAGGACACAGCCATTAGGATGCAGGGTCTTGTGTTGTTGACTTTGCTGGTTGTTGTGGTATCACAGTAACATGGGGAGAGAGCCTAAGATCTCTGAGACCAAAATTATCTCCTAGTAAATAATCTACCCCTAGTCAAAATTGGCCAGTGAAATCCTGGAAAGTGGGAAATTCGTGTCTCTTTCTTTCGTTCCAATGTGCTGAGATGTCATACAACCAACACAGTCAACCACACAAACTTCAGTACAACATGGCTTCAACACAACCTTGTGTACAACTGACACCTGTTTAAGTCACGGAGCTTGGAAACTGATAGAGTGAAAGAGTATTTTGACACCTGCGTATATGACTCCCTTCGTTGTCTTAAAAAACAGCTCTGCTCCAGGAAAACGTGTCTTCATCAGAGTTTCATGCTACCCTGGGGGCACACCGTGAACACAAAGGAAATGATATGGGTGTTTATTTGTTTGTTTGATATTTTGAGGCAGGGTCTCAGTATGTAGTTCAGGCTGGCCCTGAGCTCACTAGCCCAGGCTGGGCTCCAACTCACAGAGATCCTCCTGCCTCACCATATCCAGCTTAACATGGTTCAGCTGAGGGTTGCCCACATGGCCGAGAGTGCTTGCTGTGTGGGAAACCAAGACCAGGCAGGCTGGGGGCAGTTCATGCTCATGAATACGGGCCATGTGGCCAGTTGGGGAGAGTTAGGGTGGCCATCCTCAAGGGCAGTCATTTGTGGTGTTGTTTCTGTGCTTACCCAGGAAAAGGATCTGCAGTTCCTGAAAGGAAAATCTACTGTAATTATTGCAATGAAATGATTACAGGAAGTAAGCACAACCACTATATGGTGAGTAGCAATTAGTCATTTTCTAATGGTGCCAATATCCAGTTCATAGTCCAAAAAGCGTAATTTTTGAAGGAAGATTCTAGCCAAATTTTACATAACACAGACTTTTTAAAAACATTTTTTAATGCTTATTAGCACATGTTTGCTGTATATAGTGATTATTTTTATTGTGAGTTGGTACATGCACATAATCCAACTTAATTCCTTTACTTCCCTTTAGCCTCCCCTTCGCCCCCCATTTCTAGTTTCTCTTACCATTTGCAAAGGATCTATCTCTATTTTGTATTATCTTTGATTTTGCTCTTTAAATTATTTATTTCTTATTTATATAAGAAAAAAATCATGTGATATTTGTGCCTGTGTGTCTGGTTTATTTCGCTTAATATTAGGGTCTCAAGGTACATCTACTTCCTATAAATGATTCAAATTTATCCTTCTTTATGGCTAAATAGTATTCCATTGTGTCTATATGCCACATTTTCTTTATCCATTCATCTGCTGGTGAACGTATAGGCCATTTCCAAGATTTAACTATTATGAGTTGTGCTGCTATAAACATGAGTATGTATGTATCACTATAGTATGATATCTTAACTCTTTTGGGAATATACCCAGGAGATGTATAGCTGGGTCGAATGGAATTTCTATTTTTAATTTGTTGAGGAATCTCCATACTAATTTCCAAATGGTTGTACTAGCTTACATTCTCACCAGCAGTGTAGAAGGGTTCCTTCCCCCCGCCCCACAGTCTTTCCAGTATTTATTTGATTTCTTGATGATGGCCATTCTTTCTAGAGTAAGATGAAATCTTAGTGTTGTTTTCGTTTCCATTTCTCTCATGGCCAGTGATGTTGAGCATTTTTTCATGTGTTTATTGGCCATTTGTATTTCTTCTGAGAAGTGTCTATTCATTTTAATTGCTTATTTTCTTGATTGGGTCTTTCACTTTAGGGCAGATTATTAAAAGTGCCTGTGGCTTTTGTTTGTTTTTGTTTTGTGCAAAAATAGATCTTAGTGAATTCTTTAGGTGTATTTAGCATATATAATTGGTCTTCATTTGTGCCCAGCCCCTCAAGGAGTATCTTTGACCAATCCTGGTACCCCTGACCACATTTGACTGTCTCCAACCTTAGGTCTGGACATTGATATTGCAGTTCGGTACCTAGTATGGCCTGCTTGACTGTTTTCTGCCCAAGTGGTAGTCTTCTCTATTAGACTGTGAGCTCCCTGGAAAAACTGAATGGTTTTCTCCATCTTCCAGTAATAAATATCAGGTCTGGATACAGAAAGGGGACTCTGCTGAACTGCAATGATGTGGTTGATCGTTGATTGGTTTTGCCTGTGACCAACTCCCAGTCTTGTCCCTCCATAGCCCTAAGTGCCTTTTAGTACATTACTGTGCCAAACTGCTCCCTTCTTCTGAACTTATCATAGCTTCTCTTCAAGGAACTCCACTTCTTCTTGGGTAGAGATGTTTACTTTTCTAAACTTCAATTCATAGAACTAGAGAATATTAGAGCTAAAGAGACCTTAGAGATGTTCCAGATCTTTGCTTTTTTTATTACTGTAGTAAGATACGTCTAAAAATTGCCATTAGTGACATTCATTTGAAATATTACACAGCCCTCACCATTATCTGGAGAATGTTCCAGACCATTTTCATCACCCCAAAAAGAAGCCCTAAACTCATTAGCAGCTATTCCCCATTCTCTCTTCCCAGCCACTGGCAATCACTAATATGCTTTCTGTCTCTGTGGATTTTCCTATTCTGGATATTTCAAATAAGTGCAGTCACATCATATGTGGTCCAATGTGACTGGCTTCTTTAACTTAGCATAACAATTTCAAGGTTCATCCATGTTGTCATTGTACCATGCATCAGCACTTTATTCCTTTCTGGCCTTTTTATGAAGCTAACTACTCCCCTTCACAATGCCCAGATTGGCAACCAAAGAACTTGCAAACTTTCTTGAATGTGGCAGAGAAGTGCATAGCTATAATAAACATAGAACTGGATTTGTGGTCAGAAACCCTGAATTTTCATTCTGCTCTGCTGCTTACCAGCTGTGTAAACTCTATCAGCTTCTTTCATATTCTGTGAGAAATGGGGATAAGAATGTATCTATTTGAGCATGGAAAGAAGACATCCACAATCACTCACCGCCAGATCCACCTCCCTACCAGCATCCACACTCACACACGCGGCCTTCCCACCTGTTACCAAGGAGAAGCAGTGTTCCTGTGAAAGCTCACCCCGACTGGTGCACTGCAGCCCTTCCCTCCTGCTACACCAGCCCATTGCCAGATTGCCCCAGAAATCCCCCAACCTGTCGACGTGGAGAGACGAATTGAGCTGTACTCAGAGACAACAACAAAAATGTCAAAACAGTTCACTCCAGTGCGTTCTAACATTTTTCATAATCATGAGTTATCAAAGAAACAAAACTAACAAATACGTGTATCAATGGTTCTCTCTTCGCCCTTGCATGGAAAACATTTTTAAAATTTGACAAGTGCCAAAATAGTGTACGTTAGGTGGTTTCACAGTTCTCGGTCTTTATATTGACAGGACACCCTGAGAAACTTCTCTTATATCCATTTCCTGCCACTTATCTTTTGTGTTTTCCTTTTTTTTTTCATTAGTACATATTTGTCATACATATTGATCACATCCATCGCAGGGAATTTGTACATGATATATCTTAATTCTTATTTTTCTCCCATTCCCCTCCCCACCCTTCAACCCTTTTTCCTTCCCAATTACAAAAGCTTTGTTTCCATTTTTCACTCCATTCTCTTTTTTTCCTTTTCCCTTCCTTCCCTTCCCTCTCCCTGTTCCCTTGTTCCCCTTCCCATTTGAACATGTTCTTCCTACTTTCCAATATCTATCCTCCGTTATGATCCTTATTTACCCTTTGGGTTCCTCACACAAGAAAAACAATGCAATATTTAAATTTGTGTGTCCGATTTATTTCACTTAAGATTATGCATCCATTTTTCTGCAAACGACTCATTTATCCTTCTTTATGGCAGAGTAGTGCTCCGTTGTATACAAATACTGCATTTTCTTTATCCATTCATCTTTGATGGGCCTATGGTTGGTTTCCAAGATTTAGCTATTATAAACTTCACTGCTATAAACATAGTATGCATATATCACTGTGGTACAATGCTTTTAACTCTTTTAGGAAGCTGTCTGGAAGGGGAAGAGCTAAGTTAAATGGAACCTCTACTTTTAGTTTTTTGAGGAATCTCCGCACTGATTTCCACAGTGGTTGCACCAGTCTACACTCCTACCAGCAATAGAGAAGAGTTCCTTTTTCCTCACAACCTCACCAGCATGTTATTGGTTGATTTCTTGATGATAGCCATTCTTTCTGGAGTGAAATGAAATCTTGGTGTTGTCTTAATTTGCATTTCTTAAATGACCAGTGATGCTGAGCATGTTTTCATTTATTTATTTGCTGCTTATACTTCATCTGAGAAGTGCCTATTCATTTCAGATGCCCATTTTTAGACTGGGTCTTTAAATTTGGGGAGTCTGATATTTTTGAGTTGTTTATCTATTCTAGATGTTAGTCCTTTGTCTGAGGAGTAGCTCGTAAAAATTTTTTCCCATTCTGTGAGTTGTCTCTTCACCCTATTGGTGGTTTCTTTTGTTGTGAAAAAGCTTTTTAATTTGATGTGATCCCAGTTGTTGTTGTTGATTCTTTGTATTATTTCCTGTGAGATCAGGGTTTTGTTCATAAAGTTTTTGCTTATTCCTATATCTTCTAGAGTTTTACCTATTCTATATTCCAGCAGATTGTTTCTGATTTTATATTTAGATCTTTGATCCATTCCAATTTTAGTTTAATGCATGGTGAGAGATGTGGGTCTAAGTTCAATATTCGCATGTGAAAAAGCGATTTTTCCAGCAGCATTTTTAAAGATGCTTTGTTCCAGTGAAAGTGATTGGCCCCCTTGTCAAAGATTGGGTGGCTAAGTGTGCTTAGAGTTGTTTCTGCATCTTCTATTCTGTTACATTCATCTTTGGATCTGTTTTTTTTGGGAGGGGGGTTGTTTTTGGTTTTGGTTTTGGGTTTGGGTTTTTGCCAGTACCGTGCTGTTTTTATCACAGTAGCTTTGTAGCATAACTTAAAATCAGGGATTGTGATGCCTCCTGCCCAACTATCATCTTGATTTCCTGTGTAACAGAATATTTGAACTAGTTGTCTATAGACACTGTCCCCATTTCTTCTTTCATTCTTATTTATACTCACTCCAATCTGGCTTTTATAACCAGCACTGTCCCCAACTTTACCAAAAGTGTTCTTTTCAAAATCAGTGGTGACCTTTGAATGGCTAAATCCAAAGCTCAGTTCTCAACTGTCATTTTATGAAGAGCATGTAACATCACAGCCCATCACTCCCTCTTCCTCAACTTACTTTTGGGCTTCTAGAGAACTACACTCTTCTGGTTTTCAATAACTTCAGTGGTCTCTCCTTCTTTAGCCCCTCCAACCTCTTAATTTTTCAAGGACAAGGCAGGCTTAGTCTCTTGTCTTATTTTAATAGTGAAAAAAATGTAGGTTTAAAATTAGCCAGATGGAGTCAGATTAGATGATCCCAATTTTGTTGACAACACCCAAGTATCGTAACTAGGAGCCAGTGGAACACATCGCTACCCTCTGCCAGGCCTGATCAGCATATACCCTTGACCACATCAGCATCATAGACCATCTTCACAGCCTCTGTGAGCTGATGCTTGTTGGCCTTGACATCCACAGTGAACACAAGTATGTTGTTGTCCTTTGCTTCTTTATGTCTGACTCCGTGGTCAGGGGGAACTTGGTGATGGCATAGTGGTCAAGTTTGTCTTTCCTGGGGGCGATTCTCTGAGGATATTTGGGCTGCTTCCAGAGCTACAGTGGCTTGGGTAGCCGGAAGATGAGATGAAGCACAGATTGTGTGTGTGTGTTTATGTCTGTAGATTCCTTTCAGCACTGCCTTCTTGGTTGTCAACGCCTCGGTTTTGGATTCAGCTTTGGGAAGGGCGGGAGCTTCCTTCTGCACTTTAGGTCCCATCTTAGTCCCAGGTCTCTGGTCTCCTCTACATCTATACTCACTACCTCAGGCCTTTATTTCATCCAGTCTCTCAATTTTAAAAGTGCCATATGTAAGCAGACACTCTAAATTTTTTATCTCAGTCTGAACTTCTTAACCCCAAATTGCAGACTCGTGTGTCACCACCTATTCAGCATCTTCCCATGAATACTGGATAGACATCTCAATCGTAACCCATCTGAAGTGGTATCCTCACTGCCATTGTCCATCTCAGGTGGTGGCAGCACTATCTATCCTTCTAGTCATTCAGGCCACAACTTCAGGTGCATCCTGACTCCTCTCCTGTCCCTAGGAAGTGTTGGTGCCCTGATACAAACCACCAATATCTCTAGCCTGGATGCTGTGGTGGACTCCTCACTGGTCATTCTACTTCTCACCTTGCCCACTGAGTCTGTTCCCACCACAGTGGCTGACAGGATCCTTTAAAGACACCACTCACTTGTTTCACTCCTCTGTTCAAAATTTTTCACTGGCTCTTTCCTCACTTCCTTCATGCAGTGAAAATCCCTACCACGGCCTTTGAACTCCATGACCTCTGTGCCTCTTTCCCACCTCACTGCCTCCTGATCTCATCTACACTCTTATCCAGCTTGCTAGACTCCTCTTTCTTTCTTTCGAAACAATTTCGCTATGTAGCCCAGGCTAGCCTCAAACTCACAGTGATCCTCCTGGCTCCTGAATGCTGGGACTACAGGTGTGCACCACCATGCCCAGCCTCATGATTTCTTGAGCACACCATACTTGAGGGCATTTTCACTAAGGGCTCCCTCTGCCTAGAGGCCACCCCATCAACCCATCCCCCACCATATTCCTGGAGCTCTCACCTCCTTTAAATCTTTGCTCACATGGCAGCTTCTTAAGCAGTGTACACCTTTACAACCTATTTAAAATTGCAACCTGTCCCCAGCACACATTCACCACCTCCTTACCTTTCTCACCTCTTTTTTTTTTTTTTTTTTTTTTTGAGACAGGGTCCCACTATGTAGTCCATTCTGGCCTTGAACTTACTGTGTATCCCAGGCTGGTCTCAAACCCACATTTACTTCCAAGTTTCTTCATTCTGTCCTCCTGATTTATTGCTGTCATTTATTGTGGTTAAATCAATATTCAGTATTACATTAGTGTGGCCAGGTAAGTATTGTAAATTGTTTGCCATATGAACTGTGATTAAATTTGCCCTCTTTCTCAACTTTTTGTTTTCCCTGGTTTTAATAATTGCTTAATTTTTTCATTTGCTTCATTTTCCAGATACTTTGACATCACTAAATTGTTCCTTAAAAATTCTACCAGACCTGAAAATTCCCTCTCAGTATAATTAAACACACTCTATCCATTTCATTCTGGGGACATGTTTTTCCCTACACCTGAGGAGTAGCTGTCATTCAGAGAATTTTCTCCACTCCTGACAGGGTTGGAGTTCTGTTTCCCAAATCTCAGGTCAGGTCTTCCTCTTTCTTGATTTACTCCTTGTTTGGTAGAACATAGCCTCAAATAGTTTCTTGAGAAAGAAAGCATAGTGGCAAATAATTTACACCTTATATATCTGAAAATAATAGCTTGGATGGCTAGGAAATCTATAATTTTTCAAATTTTATTATAAAAATGAAGTTAGAGAGTTAATATGATTAACCCCTATGTATTCATCCCTGAGATACAATAATAAGCAAAAGTTTTCCACATTTGCTTCATCTCTTCTTTTGTTTTCTTCTCTTTTTTTCTGAAATATTTTAAAGCAGATATAAGATATACTATTACTTCACACATCATTCTTTAAGACATATGTTTAAAAGGTGATCTTTTTCTTAATTACAATGCCTTTCTCACTTTCAATGGTATTAACAATAGTTCTTTTCTCCCATCTTTTTGTGACTTCCATTTACCATGCTTGCTCATTACTGCTGCAGCTGCTTTTCCTCTCTTGCCTTCTATTGCACTGAACAAGTTTCCTGCCTTCTCTTCTACTGATTTGGCAATTTTACATTCTATTTATATCATTTTAGTAGTTATGAATGACATTTTAATATGAAAACTTGACTTAATAAGATCTAAAATGAACCATTACCTTCAGCCTTCTTACAAATATATGTGGTTTTGAAAACAGATTATTCTGATTCTCTCATCCTATTTTCTATGCAATGTTACCATAATTTTTCATCTTTCTTTTTACACTACCCTTCATTGATCATTAGCATTGTTATTTTTTGTTATACAACTCATACCTGTTTGTATATACTCACGAGTGTACCCTTCTCTTTGCTCATATTCTTTCTTGGATCCTCAGCTTTCTTGCTTGCTAAAATACATCTTTTAGTTCTTTCAGCCCAAACGTGTAAGTAGTAAGTCCTCAGCTGCCTGTAAATCAGCTTTCCCCTTGTGGTCTCGAATAATAGTTCAGCTAGGTGTATTTCTGCTATCTGAACTTGCTAGTGGCCACTGCTGCTCTTGGTTGTCATTTACTTTTCTTCAAGGTACATTGCTCCCGTGTGTTTGTAATTTGGGATTGTGAGTTTCTGTTTGGTGACATTCTACCTGTGAAAATCCGGTATAACCTATTTGGAGGCTGTGTACCCTCTGGAAGAATTTTGTGATCCAAATTTTTGTGTTTATTTTTCTGCTTGAGGATTTCTAGACCCTGCAGCTAATATAAATCTGAACCCCAAACACAAGAATGGTATGGGCCTGTGATTTTGAGTTTTTAGGGACACAAATTTTTATTCCCTACACTCAAATTCCACCCCAAGGTAGAAAACTTCTTGCCACTTTTCCTTTGTAATTAGCTGATTCTTTTCTCTTACCCACCATAATTTTTCCCTTAAGGATCCCAGCATTACACAGGGAAAGAGCAATCTTACTTCCAGTTCTCCACCTTGTGTAGATGGGATTTTCCTTCATCCAAGCCCCTAATTGTAATATTGACTCCACATTACTCCTATAACCTAAGTGTCAGATCATGTGATTAACCAGTATCTTAGTCCAGTTTTGCTGTTGTAACAGAATACTGCACAGAAATTTATACAGAAATTTATTTCTCACAGTTCTGGAGACTGGAAGTCCAAACTTAATGTGCCAGCCTTTGGTGTCTGCTGAGGGCCTTTTTGCTGCATCCTCCCATAGCAGAAGGCAGAAGGATAAACTAGTCAAATGCTTCATGAATCCTCCTTTATAAATCCTTAATCCCAGCCAGTAATGGTGGTGCATGCCTATGATCCCAGCACTGTGAGAGGCTGAAGCAGGAAGACCACAAGTTTAAGCCCAGCTTGGACAACTTAGGGACCTTTTGAGATCCTGTCTCAAAACTCAAACACTTAAAAAGTGGAGATGTAGTTTAGTGTGAAGGCCCTGGGTGTAAACCCTAGTGCTCTGCCAAAAAAACAAAATCCTTAATCCCATGAATGAAGAAGGTACCCTTGTAGCCTTGTAAAGTCCTCTTGCCGGCCCCATCTTTTAACACTATCACCTTGGCAACACCGAAAATTTGTGTAGAACATGTTCAAACTTTAGCAACTAGGCAGGCCTTCATTCCTTGAACTCAGTTTTCTTTCTTGCCATCAAATCTGATCTTGAATGCCTGTTATATTTTATTCATCATTTCTAAGTATTTGTAATGGGAACTTTTCAGGTTATCTAGTCAAGCATACCTTCCAACTGTTCAAACTGAAGCCTTTTTTTTTTGCATTTGCTGTCGTACAATTGCAGGATGACTGTTCTGCAGCCTCAGCCCTCCTGAAAAACCTGCTTAGATCCTTTCCAAGTCGGACTGGTGGAAATCAAACTCCCACAGCAGAGAAAGATGTCCGTCCAAAGACAAAAAATACAAACAGATTTCCTCTTCCTTCTGAAAATTCAACAAAACAAGCACCAAGAGAGAAAAGCAGGACCATGGATCTGCCTTCAGTATCTGAGCTCAAGTCAAGGACTGCCTCTCCTACAGGAAACAAGACAGCCTATGACATTCTGAGGAAGTGTTCACAGTGCGGCATCCTGCTTCCCCTGCCCACCCTAATGCAACATCAGGTACCTAGGCTCTGTTCTCTCCCTAGCTGGCTGTAAACCAGCTGGGCCGTATCTTAAATATCAAGTATCTGCAGGATATTTGCCCATGTGGCAGCTGGGGAGACCTTCCCTGTCTCCCCGCTCCCGTACATCCAAGTACACCCTCTCATGGCACTTGACACCTGCTTTTTTTGTGTCACCTCTCACAACTATGTCACCTTTGAAGGTAGAGCCAGATCTCTCATTTCTGTGTCTCCAGCTCCTAGCCCAAGGGCTGACACACAGCAAGTGCTCCGAAACTGTGGAGTAAATGAATGAAGCTGAGAGTGGCCAGTCTATCTTCCCCAAGGTATGGATAAAGCAGCAGAGGCCCAGAAAGCAGAAATGTCTTGTCATGTGGTGGCTAGCCTCTAGCACATCAAGGTTACAGCCATATTCCTCAATATCCGATTTTTCTCTGTCTCAGATTATTTTCTTGTAATGATAAGAACTGGCCTTAGAGGTAGTTAACCATCATGTGCCAGTTACATTACAGAGCACTTGATAAATGTTTAGTCTTCATTATAAGCAATAGATAATGTTTTAACATTAAACTGGGCAGAAAGGTACACTTCCTTCCCCGGGATTGTACAATGACAGAGTGGAAGAATCCAGTCCAGACTCCACATGTATAGCTCCAAAGCTTTTGTTCTTAAGCTCTGGCCTAAATGCCTTACTTGTTTGGTATTTTTTAAACACTAAAGTATTAGGTTTTGTTGTACATAATAAAGAAGATGTATTGTAGCTTGAAGAAGAAAAGTAAAGCTCATTATTCCCCACACCTATCCCAATGCCATGCCCTGGAATAACAATTTCAGCAGCCTTGTGGGTGTCCTTCCAAGGCTTTCTTTTCCCCTCACATAAACTCTAACAAATTGCTTGCTTTTTTTCCTCTACATATTACCTGAATGTGCTCATTACTCTGCCATTTTCCTTCTTAATTTAATATATGGTAGGTCCAAGTATTAGGTAGGCCTAAGTATTTTTTGAACTTCTTTATGCATATATACATATATATATACACACATAGGCATGTAATTTTACAAAAATTGACTAATTTTGTCTTGCTAGGGCCATTTTCTCTTGCCTCCCACCTTTTGCAATTTCTTGACCACCTTTATATAATAAGGTTGTCAGATTTAGCAAATGAAAATAGTGGTTACCCAGACAAGTTTGAATTTCAGAGAAACAAGAGGATTTATTAGTATTAGTGTTCATATTAGTATTAGGCAGTACTGTGGAATTAAACCAGGGGCCAGGGTGTTGGGGGAGATCCTCTACCACTGAGCTACATCCTCAGCCCTTTTTCTTTTTTATTTTGAGACACAAGTTTTCCAGGCTGGCCTTGAACTTGTGATCCTTCTGCCTCAGCTTCCTAAAGAGCTGGAATTACAGGAATTACAGGCATGTACCATCATGCCTGACAATTTTTTAAAAGTATAACTCTGTTCCATGCAATGATTCTTTCTCTAAAATTGAAATTTAAATGAGCACCCTGTAATATATTTGGCAACCCTACTATCAAACATACACAAATGTACACGTTTGGAGTACTGTTGTGCACATTTCTTTACATCATAATGTTATCATTTAGCTATACCCAAGTGAGCAGTGTGGCTCGTCATTGTTAATGGTTACGCAGGAGTTCCTGTTCTAAGTGTACAGTACTCTCCTGTTCTCCTACCCTGATGAAGATGGGCTGCTGTTAAACACCATTCGAAGCCTCCTGCCCCTCTCTTAGATTGGTGGGCTCTATGCTTCTTCCCTGCTGTCCACCCCAGTCTCCAGGCACCTGTAGCTCAGGGCTCTTGTTTGGGAACAGGGAACAGAAATATCCAGAGTTATTTCAGAAACTAGCACTTCCTCCTCGAAATATACTGAACTTTTTATATTCCTTTCTTTAGGTAAAATGCAGATGGTTAGCTTCCTCAAAAGGAGAGCAAGTGAGAAAATCCAGCTAGATTTGGAAAGAAGAAGTACTGTGAATTTGGAAGATCTCCTGTTTGCACCAGCTTCCATGGTGGTCTCTGCTTATGAAAGGAGATGGGTTTTATTCCTTCGTATTTAGAAGAAAAAGTTTGCGCTTTAAGTATGTTCCCTCTTTTGAACAAAGACATTGGTTTGCTCAAGGGCTCCAGGTAACCAGGAGAAAAAAAAGATTCCAGTTCTTCTGGCTTGGCATTCTGGTTAAACTTCCAGCTGGGGTGCCTAAGAGACCCCAGCTTTGTCCCTGAAGAATAAAAACACTTTCCTTGAAAGCTTCTTGTTTACCTTCTTGGATTCCTCACCGGTTTTCCAGGGGAAGGGCTGGCAGAAGGTGGACAGCAGGATGCAGCTTCGCAGAGGAAGGCAGCGAGGTCCAGGGGGAAAAGGAGAAGGAGAAACACCAGGGAGAGAGATGAGGACATCCGTCGTGGAAGGCTTTGGGAGGGAAGGTGGCTGGGGCAGCCTGAAGATGCTCTCTGCCTGTAGGTAAACCGCTTTTACCTTTCTGACCAGGCCCTGGGGAGACCGCTTGGGACCCCAGCTCCTGCCAAGGCAGGGAAGGGCCAAGGAAGTGGGTAGGCTGTGTGCGCCCCACCCTCCCAAAATTGGAAAGGGAAAGCATTCCTCAAGCTTTGTTACCTTCCTGTCAGGTTTGCTTGGGGGACTTTGCCTAAGGAGAGAAAAGCAGAATACGGGGCGTGGCTTCCTAAAGAGAGCCGCACACACTGGGCCTCTCAAGGCTCAGCTGGACCCAGGGGCTGGGTCAGGACTCGCCAGGTGGTGGACTGAGCTGAACTTCTTCCTTGCGTGCAGGGGCCACTCGGCGCCTTCCAGGACACTGCGCAAGGCCCGTGGCGCCCTCTGCCCTCGCGATCCACTGATCTGGCCGCTCCCGGGGTTGGCCTCCTTGCACTGTGGGGCTGAGGAGAGCGCCAGGGACGGCAAGGCGTCACAAAGAGGGTGCAGCGCTGAGCATTTAGCTGAGCAGCTGAGCGAGGGCAGCTCGGCCCCCGCCCCACCCCGAGTGCTCACAATTGGCATCCGAGCAGCAGCGGGCGGGCGGACGGAAGAGGTAGGCGCCCTGCCGTCCTTGCAGCCCAGACGGGGCATAGCCCAAGCAAGCGACCAAGCAGGCACAGGAGCCGGTAACTGGTGAGCGCATGCGACAGGGGGCCACCTCCTCCTGGAAGTGACTTTTGGCTACGGGGTCTCCCGGCCACCTCTGCACTGCTTGGGTGATGGGACATCCTTAAGTTTTCTTCCTTGTTGGCAGCTACGTGTAAGAGTGGACTTGAAAGTCCTAGGCTGGATTCAAATCCCACCTCCCGCCAGGCGCGGTGGTGCACGCCTATAATCCCAGCACTTGGGAGGCCGAGGCAGGAGGATCGAAGCGAGTACAAGGCCAGCCTGGGCTACATAGTGAGTTCAAGACAAGCCTGAACTGCATAGTAAGACTCTGTCTCCAAAAAAAATCCCACCTCCCCACTTTGAGAAACCGTGTTAACCTTCCAAGACCTCCATTTCCCCATTTGTAAAATGGATGCATTCACATCTTTCTGGCAGGTATGGCACGGAAGTACCTTGGCACTTGTACAGCATTTCCTATGTTTTAGGCACTTTTCTGGGCTTTCCCTACACCAGCTCTTTGAATCTTCCCAACTAAGCTACACTGTCTCTTGCTGGTGATAGGAGCTTTGGAGGAACTCGGTAGAGTATATTTATGATTTGGGGCCTCCTTGAAAAAACTTTTCTAGCCCATCAAAAGTTCTTCCAGCCCATCCCTACTGCTTACATGTCTGATGATTCTCACCTGTGACTTTGTCTGTGATTTTTAGTTTAGCTTTTTTCCCTCCGTGCTGGGGTTGGAACCCAGGGCTTCACACATGCTGGCAAGTGCTCTACCACTGAGCTACACCACTGCCCTTAGTTTTTCCGGTGCACCTTTACACACCTTCATTCATTCTGTGCACAGCAGAGGCCTCCAGGCTTGGGCCCTTTACCACCAATACAAGAAATATCCCAGTTTTCTCATTTCTGAAATGTGTAAGCACCGACTGAAAAGAAGAATGAGGATGTCACAAGCCCCACAGAGAGTGTGTCCCTCTGAAAGAAAGACAAGGATACAAATAATGTGCAGGGATGCTCACTGGCCAGGAGGGATAGAGAAGGAGACAGGCTGAATGCGGAAGTGGGGACTCAGAACTGCCTGGATCCTTGGCCGGGGGGGGGGGGGGGCTGCCATTCTATCCCCTACAGAAAGCTGTCCAGCTGGGCAGGGGAAGGCCAACTGGAAGCGGGGCCCACTTTGCTCAGAGAGCAGTGAGGGAACAAGAAGGGAAGTGGGAATAAAGACCTGAAGAAGGCCCCTAGGAAGCCCCGCAATACACTCCCTGAAGGGTGCTCACTGCCTCTATGATGTTGGTGGGAGCCAGAGAAGGCCTAGGACTATCACAGGAGAGAACGGGTAGAGGAAAGGCAGGGAGACCGGAGGTCCTATTCAATAGACACAATGGATGAGATATACAGAATCACAGAGTTGAATCCAGACACATTTGACAAACATGTACTAACAAAAAGATTTACATCAAACTCACTTAGATAGTTGCCTGTGGTGTGTGGAAAGGGGCAATGGAATGGGACAGAAAGTTAAAAGGGAATAAATGAATAAATAAAACCAAAGAGGTATCATGCACAAATAATATCTTGGATTGGGAAATAAGATTAATTTACCCCCCTGCACCTGAGGTCCAAGAAGTGGGGGGGTAGGGAAAAAGTCCAAGAGAAAGAAAAAGCCAAGGTTCTAGCCTGGGCCTTGTTACTAACTGGCTGTGTGACAAGTAATTCACTTCGCCTCTTGGGGCTCTAGTATGGATCTCTGAAAAGAAAGAAATTTTCAGTTCTATTTCCAGCCCTGTGGTTTTATTGACCACGATCAATAATCTTGGATTTGCTTGGGAAAGTATCCAATAAAGGATGTGTAGAGTAGTCAGTCTTGGATCTGGAAGTGTGGAGGTTGGGGAGAGACAAAAAACCAAGAGAAACTTTAGCAGGGGAATGTTTGAAAGCAAAAACATGTGAAAATTTCACCAGATGGTTATAAAATCTGACTGATGGCTCCACATATTGGAGAGTTCTCAGCCAGCCCCTCTTTGGGAACCCTGGGTCTGGCTGGTAGGACAACTTGCAAGACAACAGACAGTCAGAAACCTTTCAGTCCTCCCCAGTTCTGCCTTTACCAGCTACCAGTGTGTGTCCTCAGAGGAACTCACACACCTATCCTCATTCCCATCATCATCCCCAGGCTTGCTCTTGACCATTTGCTCTCCATGCCCCATAGGTGTCCCTTCTGCACCTCAAGACTTACCACATCGTCTCTACCCAGGTGACTCCCACTCTGTGGCTCTCCATGACCTCAGCTGAGGTTCTTCACCTTGTTCTGCTGCTTATACCTCTTAAATGTAAACCCAACCATCAGCAAAATGAAGCTCCAGGCATACAGTGGCCCTCATCCTGGAAGCCTTGTCAGAATTCCTAAGTCTTAGGGAGAGGAAACAACAGAAAACCTGCCCTCCAGGACAGTCTTTATCACATCCTTGATCCAGCATCTCCTGCTTCACCCACTGTCTCCAGCACCTCCACTCCCTGCTCACTTGCAAGTTCAGACCTCCAAACAATTTTTAGTTCCCTGATTATGAATGTATGACACACATTCACAATTTTATGGCTTTGCACATACCATTCCCTCTGCCTGGAAGGCATCCATTCTCTCACCACCGCCACTAGGCCAACCTGGTCTGCCTTGCAGATCCCACTCTCCTTCAAAACCCAGCTTGGGGGTGGCCTCCTCTGAGCAGCCCTCTCCACGTCCTCCTTACCCAGGCAGAATCTGTCTCCCCCATTTGTGCCATCCTTGCACCATGACAATGCATGGACCTTTTCCCTTCTCTCACCATATTGAAACTAAGTATTGATCCATGTCCCCAGATAGTCTGTAAGATCCTTACAGGTGTGCTGTGGCACAGGTGGGCTGTGTTGTGAACACCAAACCACCTGCCTGTGGCACTGTGCCTAATGCTGTACACACAGAACCACGGAGACATTTTGTACAATTGAGTCTAATTTCCGTTTGGCTACTAATGGCTCTTCCTTTTTACTCTCCACAGAAAACAAGTGATTTTTTATCTTTCTTTTTTTTCCCTTTTATTTTATTGGTACATTTTAGGTATACAATATTAGTTTTTCTTTCTTAATTTTTGGAAGCCCTGCTTACCACACAGCTGCACCGTGCCTCTGGATTCTTTGATGGATGAAGGAAGTGAACTGATCCAGCCCCAAGACCAGAGCTTCTGGGCCACTCTACCCGATGTGTGCCTGCGCCGTATTTTCTGGTGGCTGGGGGACAGAGATAGATCCAGGGCGGCCCTGGTCTGCAGAAAATGGAACCAGATGATGTATTCAGCCGATCTGTGGCGATACAGGACCATCACTTTCAGTGGGAGACCTTCCAGGGTACACGCTTCAGAATTCCAGTCAGCTCTTTGGTATGTTAAGAAATTTGGTCATTATTTAGAATGTCTAGAGATCAAATTCCTGAATCCTTACAATGCTGTCTTGACCAAGAAGTTCCAGATCACCATGAGAGGTCTTCTCTCATGCCTGGGCCGAAGTAACAACCGTCTGAAGTCACTTTCCATCCAGGACCTGGAGCTAGATCGCCTGGTTTGGAGGAACAGCATCAAGAACTCACTCATCAAAAGCTTGAGCTTCTTCTTGAAAAAAATGGGCAAGTACCTGGACTCCCTCAGCCTGAAAGGGGCCAGGCTGACTGTGGAGCAGGGCTGCCAGATACTGAACTCCCTGAGCTACCTACAGAATGAGAGTGCCACCTCGGACCTTAACATCGAAGATTACTTCAGCCACCGCCTGACTGTCTACAGCAGCCCCCAGTTCAACAAGACCATGGCCACATTCCACAACCTGGCAACCCTGACACTCAACTACAACTGCATTTCTGACGAGCTGCTCGAGAACTTGGCTGCTAACAATGCCAGTACCCTCCGGACCATGTATATCAAATGTCACATTTATGACCCCCATGGCCAAGTCATCTGGGGCATGTCCTGGGCCAAGCTGGCCAGGCAGGCCAGCAACCTGAAGGTGAACTTCTTCTTCGAGCGTGTCATGAAATATGAGCGCTTGGTCCGCATCCTCCTGCAGGAGATCCCCATCAGGAGCATAAGCCTGAGAAGCTGCTATTTCAGTGACCCTGACTGGTCCATGCGGCCCACTCTGACAGACCTCCTGCCTACCTTCCGGCACACCCTGCAGGTAAGTAGGAAGTGGGGCCCAGGGAGGCTTGCAAGCAGCGACTGCCATCAGGTAACCTGTTTCCCCAGAGGAAAGCTTGCTAATCCCACACTGAGTGTATATGAATTGTTACCAGACTAAGCCTCCCCATGTCCTCAAGATCGCAGCAGAAGACAAAAAGTGCTGCTCACTTTCAACACGAGACGTAAGGAATGCTCTGATTGGTGGTCAACCAAGAAAAGCCCCTATACCCATAGCTCAGAGGTGTGAAGCTTGAGCCAAGAGCCTTGCAGGTGACCTTTTCTCCACAAGGTTGCAGCAGCACATGAGGGATCATGTGGCTCCTACATGTCACCTACAGTCACTGCTAAGCAAAGGAACTGTCTGGTTCCACCAATGCCTGGTAATAAACCAGACAGAGGGGCTGGGGATTTAGCTCAGTGGTGCCACCTCCTGCCTCGCAAGCACAAGGTCCTAAATTCAATCCCCAGTACCAAAAATAAATAAATAAATAAATAAATAAATAAATAAATAAATAATAAACCAGACAGAAAACCAAGATTAACTTAGGAAGAACTTGGAAGTCCTGGAATGTACCGTAATGTGAGTTTTACCACCTATAAAATCAGGATTATTTTGTCATTCCTCAGGGCCTTGTTATCATTGTCACAATTGACATTAATAGGAATAAATGTCACTCCCAATGTGGAGGGGTTACAAGACTCTAACAGCTTATTTATATTCACATAACTGTGAGGTGGGCAGGGTAGATGATCTCAGTGCTACAGAAGAGCTTTAAGTTTGGTGGCCTGCCCACAGTGACCCAGCCACTTCACTGCAGGGCTGAGACCAGCACCTTGGTCTCTGGATTCCAAATATTCTGCTTCCAAATTCTAGGTTTTGCAAACTTGCATGAGACCACAATCATTCTCAAATCTCTTCCTTGAAGATTAAACATCTAGTTCCCTGTCTTAAAAACTCCTAAACTACCACAGCAATAGGCCCAAAGTTCAGCCATAAAGATATAAAGATGTTACAGAATGACCCAGCCAGTCCTGCCCACACACAACTTCCCCTTTGGTGCTTTTCCAGAAATTAACTTTTGAGTTCAACAACAACCATGAGTCGCTTGATGAAGAGCTGCACCTCCTCATCCTCTCCTGCAGGAAGCTGTTTTACTTCAAAATCTGGGCTTTCCTTGATGTTAAGTTTGTGGAGCGGATCCTGAAGAGCCAGGAGGAGGGGCAGTGTGCCCTGCGCACACTCAAGGTAAGAGCCCCTGGTGGTTTTGTGGGTCAGAGCAGGGCATTCGGGCCTGGTGCTTCTGCTCTGGGATCCAGGTCGGGGGGAGGGAGGGAGCAGGGAAAGCCAATACACCTGAATCTGTCCACTGTAGGGGAACGATTTCACAGAAGGGAATTTGCAGCTCCCTTAGTGCAGCCAGCCTGCTATAGCCCCGGGCTCCACATCTGTGGACTCAGCCAACTGTGAATTGAAATTTTTTAGGGATTAAAAACAGCATCTGTGCTGTCCTTGTTATTATTCCCTAAACAACAGAGTATAACAACTATTTACACGGCATTCACATTGTATTAGGTATTATAAGTAACTGAAAGATAAAGTATACAGAAGGATGTGCACAGATTCTCTGCAATACTATGCCATGCCATTTTATGTATGGGACTTGAGCCCCCCTGGATTTTGATATCCATAGAAAGTCCCAGAACCAATGCCCCACAGGTACCAAGAGACAACCATAATTGAGTTTGGGCTTTTCCTGATCCTGCCAGCAACTGTATGTATAGATCATTTAGATCATGGTTGGGTCCTGAATGATGTAGTCACTCTGTGTGTTGGGGGGTTGTTTCTTTATTGATGCAGGTGAAAATTTATATAAACAGATATGAGACTAATGAAGAGGACAGGACCTTGCAGGAAATTCACAGAAAGTACAGAGATCTGATCGATTCGGGGATTAACTACTTTGTCATCACTTACCCCATGATGTAAAGAGCCTCTTCAGAAGAAGGAAGCTAGGAGCACTTTGAACTTGAAAATCCACTTCTCGGAGAACTACACTAGGGGCACCTCCACCGCATCCCTTTTTCTTCATTCTCTTTTTTGCCCATTTTATACCAACATGAACAGCTGGGCAAAGGCTGGGACTACGGTTATGTGAAGGCCCCCGATGACTTTAAAGTGCTATCTTTACCATCTATCTAGGGGTGATTTCTCCTTTTGTTGTTTGGTTTTGCTTTTCTGATGCCCATGTTTAGCCACTGAACAAAATACCCAAAGCTGCTCAATATAGTTTCCTATTAGGGGAGCCTGACTCTTGGTCACCTGAGCTCCTGAAAAGGTGTGTGAGCAGCCAGTGAGTAAACAATCTACTGACCAATATCGCCAGATATTGGAAACCCTTACATCCGGGCTGATCTTCATGTGAAACTGGCACTGACGTTGACTGGGTCTGATTGTCCTTGGCTGAAACAGGGAAATCTCCACTTTCAAAAGGAGCCTGATCAGAGCTGGAACTCCCTTCCTTGGAAGGAACTAAGGCCCTGATTCATCAGCCTCGGGTACTTAGACCTCCTTCTTTGGCTTTGCTGTGTCTCCTTTAGTTTCCCATCCAGGCCACAAGGTGCCCATCCTGGGTATGGGGTGGAAACGGAAGTGGTCATTACACTCACATTCATGAAGAACTTGTCATGGGGAAATGTTTCTAAGGCAAAGTTCAGTAAAAAAGCAGAACATAAAAACTGTTTAATATGACATCAATCATTTAAAACATATCTAACGATTTTTTTAAGTCAAAGAAGAGAATTACCAAAAATGTTAAAAATTATTTCGGTGGGGGAAGGGGTAGAATTATGGTTGGTTTTTATTGTCTTTTTACGTTTTTCCATATTTGCCAACTTTTTTTTAACTACAAACAGATATTATTTTTATAATTAGGAAAAGTCTCCTATGTTTAAAATAATGAATAATTATAAATTCCTGAGCTGGTGTTATATACATATATTGAAGATTTTTGTGCACATAATTGCATGTTATTCTCTTTTTCAACAGATGTAAACTAATAAAATATCAGGATACTTTAATAAGTGACTCACTTTAGATTGCGTGTCTTTTGTGTGCTGTATGTGTCCACATTTGTGCATTTTAGACCCTTGTTAAAATTCCTATTTAATTAGAGCTTTGCAATTTTCAATGCATTTTCACAGTCACTCTCTCACCTGACTCCCCCTACAGTGCTGTTTGGCAGACATGGTTGGCATTTCACTAACTCAGATAAAATTTGACTGATAAGATTTGACTTCTCCCATCTGTGAGAAGCTCCCGGATCTGATGGGAAAGACGTTCACAAAGTGTCATAATATCTGGGAACCAAAACGGCCCTAGGGAGCGGTCTACTGCTGTGTGGACCAAAAGAGGTGACTTATCTTGGATCTGAGGGGAGCCTTATTCAGATTGATTGGTGTAATGTTTTCTTTGTGTGTGGACTGGTTAGTTCCTTTCGCCCCAAGCACAGAATCTAAGTATACATAACTCTTGCGTGGAAAGCATGTTAATAGAAATTTCTATGAAAATGTTTTCTGTAAAAGAGTGGATTCATCTTACAGTTTTGCAAATGTCTGTCTTATCTGGCTTAGAAGTAGACAGCTGAGTTCCCATCTGTTCTCAATCCTCTGCAATATCACAGACTGGGTAGCCTCTGAAAAACTCCAGAGAGAACGCGAGTGAAAAAGACATGTGACATTTTGGTGTGATTGTTTAAATAGTTCTGACCTCATGTTTCCCTTGAAAGAAAGTTATCAGGGACCCTCAGAGATCCCCTGACCACACAGAGAACTACTGTAAAGATGTTTTGGTTCCCCTGAGGAATCAAAAAAGGCTTGAGAGTGGTAGAGTCCTAGCAGGAAACTGCAGACAGAGCACAAGAGTTTCCAAAAGCACCTATGTTTAAGCAAGTATCATCTTTCTTAAAATTATTATTACCACATTCAAAGGCCCAGTAAGGAATAGAGACAGCCAATAGACTTGTGACCACTCTATTCCTTCCTGGGTGACAGCTTCTTATGCATGCCTGTCCTTCTCCAGGACAGAGTGAGAGGACGGGGGCAGGAGGTAGGGGTCGGGAAGTGGGCTGGCTTCAAAATCTATCATCAGGCTAAAGGTCTGCAAAGACCACTGGTTCTTTGAAGAAATGCAAATGAGCACTTCAGTGTGACCCCGTCCTGTGTTTATGAGCAGAGACACATTGTAACTCCCTGGGGATTCCTCTCAGGTGTTGGCCATGGCTAATGAAGTCCTGGTGACAAAGTGACTGAGGCCAACCCTCCCGTACGTCCAAGTTGCAATGGACAGAATGCAACTCTGAAATTGATCTCTTGAAATATAGTTCCCAATGGTGTTTGGAGGTAGGGTCTTTGAGAGATAATTATATCATGAAAGTGGTGCAATCCTAAATGGGATTAGTACCCGTCTGTAAGAGGCCTCAGAGAGCTCTCTCACTCTTTCTACCATGTGAGAGATAAGAAAAAGTTATGAGCTGGCCGCCTGGATGAGAGCCTTTACCAGAACCCGTCCATGCTGGTAACCTGATTTCAGAATCCCAGACTCCAGATCTGGGAGGAAAAAATTTCTGTTGTTTACAAGCCATTCACTCAGTGGTATCTTATTATATCTCAACCCAAACTGACTGATATAAGGAAAGTAGGGCTATGATGAAACTTCAGTGTGAACCATCTCATCATTCACAGGAAAACTGACAATGCAAGGGCAGCTTGAAAACACTCAGTGATGGACCTTTGACTCTCTGGGCTGAAAAGGTTCTGAGGCTTGGGTTCTTGGATCATTTAGACTACTATTTTATATGAACTTAAATAAGTTTTCTACTCTGTTTAGAACTGAGTTTCTGCTATTTGTAAAGTGGGAGAAGCTGAGAAATTCAATATTTCTAAGATCCTTGAGACCTAGACAGGTGATGCTGAGCCAAAGTATGACTGGCCATTTAGCCCAAAGACCTGGCCTTGGGATCCAGGCAGCCCAGGTTTGAGTCCTGGCCTACTATTTACTTGTTATGTGCCCTTTGGCAAGTCTTTAGCCTTTGTGAGTGTGGGCTACTGTGTGTAAATGGAAGAATAAATTAATACATGGACTCCATGAGCCTGGCTCATGAGTCTTCAATCAATATTGGCTTTTACCTTGTTTAATGAATAAGAATCATACACTGTACTAGTGGCAGGACAAAACTATACCTCCCTGATTCAGAATCCAGAGCTCTTCCTTCCACACAAAACATAAAATGGGAAGCATTCAACCCCTCTCTCTTCCCCACCCAGTCCCACAGATAAAGTGATCATCCTGTTTATGTGCTAGGTGTTAATTCACATAGTTCCAATCAATCCTCACAACAGCTCTAGGAAATAGAGACTGCCATTACCTCTCTTTTAGAGATAAAAGAAAGAAACTGACGTTTTGCAAAACTAACTTGCCCAGGGTCACTTACAAACTGCTAGAAAGGGTGTCAGACCCAACCTAATCCCAGAACCATGCTCTTAATGACCATGTATTGCGTCCCACAGCAAGACTTGGAGCCAGTCATACAGTAGCTCCACCACATGGAAGACCATTTAGAAGACAGGATCTATGAAAACTTTTGTTTCACTGTGTTCAGCCTGGATATGCTGCTGTGCATAAATAAGAGAAAAATTCTGAGATGTCCTAACTTTAGTTACAAGGGCCAAAGGATGGAGGAGTCCAGAGAGATAAGAAAAATTATTCCGTGAACCACTTTGGGCCAAACCAACAGAGACTATTCACACTCCTAACTGTATGCTAAAACCTTGACTGAACCCCAGGCTGCCACTCACTGGACACCATTGCATCCTGATTCCAACTCCAACCAACTCAGAAACAATGAGTTTTTCTCCTTATAGCCTGCCCTTCTATCCCAAACCCTTCCCTGCTTCATGTTATGTGGCCTCTCTTATCTACAGCCAGTGTGGGTCCAAAGTAAATGTCTTAGGCTTTCTTCCCCAAATTTTCATTATATGTTCTTAGCTCTAGACCCAGTGAACTTTTTTCCAACTGCTATTTAGCCCTGATGCTGGAAGTTTCAGGAACTTGCCCCAGGAAAGGACCCGGTCCTTTTTCCTGGCTGGCATCTGTAACAGCTCAATAAACTACCTAACTTCAGAAATCCTTCTTGAGAAGTAAGTATTTTGAAT